AAAAGTCAGCCCATGTTTAGAAGATTCTGAAGTTTTAACTGCACTTTTATAGCACTGCTTATATGAAGCCCCAACCAACACTTGGATGCTGTTTGTAGAGGGGGCCCTATCCTGAACTTTCAGGAGGCCAAGGAAATGGCCTAGCAACCCAGCAGTGCAGATCAGTAGGGGAGTACAGCAGCAACAGCTGTCACCCCTCTCTCTTCTCCTGCCTCTGCAAAGAAGAAAAAAAAAAGTCTCTTATATCAGCTAAAGATGGGTAGGTTATGTTCATATTCTTCTTCAAAAACAGTCCCCTCCTTTGGCTTAGAATGGGCAAGGCTGTCCAGAAGTCTTCTCACAAGATGAATAGGGCCGTACACGTAGCTGTGCTTTCATGCTGTCTGCAGACTTAAGGAATCACTATTTATGTTCCAGTTATGTTTTCAACTTTTACTTTGCAACCACAGGCCTACGAAATTATGCTATGAGGAAAACAAGCTAAAAAAGTCACAAAATAATTGTCATTTGTGGATCTGGGGTCTAGGCACAGATTTCCTTCTTTGCAGAAGACGCTGAAATTATAATCTTTGTGGGGCCAAAGGAGATGCAATAGAAATAGGGATACTTTACCTATTGAAGGACAAACACTGCACTTCAAGTTAACAAGGTTAATTTCTAAAACTGTGCTTTCAGAAATTGTAGGCCACGCACTGCATTAAATTCTGACAGGTCTGTTGCAGAGAATGGAAATGTAAAAGAACAAGATTGTCTTCTCTGCGTTTAGACAAATTATAACAAGTGTAATTTTTATACAGTTCCAAAAGATTCCTGAATGTGCATCCCTGGAATAATTGAACTATTTAAAGCTTCACTACAGATAACTTAATGTTTCTACCTCCTGTTGCTTCAAAGTGAAGGAACGCTTCCAACTATCTTATCAGTTCTACTAAAGCCAAAATACAGTATTTTACTTTCCAAGGAGAAGAGGGAGACAATTTCAAACTGAATCATACCATTTAGGAGAGTTGCACATGTCCTAATGAAATCAACAGAAATTGAAAACTATGAGTGAGTGATCTTTGGGAGTGCTGGGAGTAGGAGAGGAGGAGCAAAGATGGATTCTTACAATTTAGGTGGCCCACTGGTCCACTAACTGAGGACACAGTACCAGTCTGAATATATACCTCATTAGACACATGAGGATCTGGATGCGCCACCTTGGGGTGGGGAGAGCATTTCAGCCAGCTCATATTTGGAGACGTAAAGCAACCAGGCTTCACTGTTCCTGGGGCTGACAGGACTACTTTCTGCTTTTTCACATTACCTGCAATTATATTAATATTTGTAGATTATACTTAAATATTTTTACTGTCTATGTAAAGAAGTAATTGTATTTTAATTATAAAACACCTAGTGCTGTATCCTTTTGAGGAATGAGGACTTGGGAGTGAAAGAGATACTAGCTTTAAAAGGAGCAAACAATTGATGTGATCCTGGAAAATGTTATAAACATGACCAGAATGTGCAGAACTGAACTCTAATATTGAGAAGCTTTATTCATTTAAGATAGTGTTGCAGGAGAACAGTAGCTTACACTGTCTTCCTACTCACCTGCCCAGTCAAGAGTCTTCCCCTGAATGATCATGAGATGCGTTGAAGAGGAAAACATCTAGCGCTACAGGTATTTACAAAATATTGTGAAAAGAAATAATATTCTGTAGGCCCTTGACGACGAAAGAATTACATTCCTGTTACTTTTGATGAGTGATGATGAGGGAGAAAACAAATCTGTAACAAACCCATACTATTTATGGCTTTATATACAAGACTTTGAATTGAGCTTCCTAAATAGCCAGTTAACTCAGGTTGCCACGTTCTACAGCTGATACTGAATCTTTACGCCAAAGTTCCTGCATTTGTTCCTATAAGGGTGGCCATGAAGCTTGTCTTGTGGAGTCTCTCCAATAAAAAGTAAGAAAAACCAGTGCATCCAAACAACCCACAGGTTGCAGATTACAGTGATGCTGCCTAGCCCCTTAAAGCGGAGCCATGACTTCTAAAAATTTCCTAGACTAATACTCCTGAAAACTCCTGACAGCTAGGCTAAAAATGGAAGCCTTCTGTTTTCAGTGTGGGATTAGAAAAACACCTCAAATTTTCTCCCTTTTAGTTAATTTCAAGCAAGCTCTGTCAAAAGAGGGTTCAGAAATCAAAACCAAACATCTCCCCATCCTATGACACCCAGTTTCACCCCTGTCAGCATGGCTACATTTTAAATAACCATCTCGCGCGGCTCTGCAGCTGAGCTCAAGCTGAGCCAGGAGAGCAGGGATTCGCTAGGGTAGGTACCAGCAATGCACTGGTGTCTAGAGGCTGCCAGTAGCTTTATGTAGGCACTGATGTGATGAACGGTAAAGCCAACTGAACAACCCCTAGCTTGTCCAATTTTTTGCAGCTATTACAACATGGTAAATAGCTACCCTATCAGCAATGCATTCTGAACTGACGTGAGGGTTTATCTCACTGAAAATGAGGTAAATTCTTTTACAGTTTGACAAGGTGTACGTTACAGAAACGATAAAGCTTCTTCACAAGTTTTTTAGGGCTGCTAGTCTTACTCCCAAAAAAAAAAATCATAAATGAAACCTGACTGTTTCTGGGCACCTTTTCTGAAATTTCAATTTTCCTCTTGTGTTCATCTCCACCTTTTATAAGCAATCATTTGTTGGGCTAAGCCAGTTTACAGTATGTTTCATAAAGAAGACATGATGCAATATTTATCTAAAATGTAGTAGTCTGACTGCAGGAATGGTGAGCAATAGCAATACTGAGACTGTGTGCAAAGTGAATTATGGGTTATATAAAAACCTGCCTAAAACTAAAAATATTTAGAACTGCTTAATCAGAATTTAATCTAAAAATATATATACCAACTCAGCATAAAATACTTTTCAGGAATTGATTAGCTAGCTGCTGTTATTAGCATGTAGCTAATATTTGGGCTATCAACTCCTACTGGCCAGTCTTCAATTCTCAGAAAATGTTTTATGCCCAAGTCACTGTTGCCTAATTAGAGCCTGCAAGAAAAACTGATGAGCCAGGGAAGTTCCATAGTATTGCATGCACAATTGTGTACTATATACTGTTGCCAGATACAGGGAGCTTCGCGGCTGGTTATTCAGGCTTTTACAAAAATGCTTTTGTAGTTGTCTTTAAGGGCTAGTAGTTTATTGGCAGTTATTTCACCCATGTATCACCAGACTCCTATTTTGATCCAAGACTGTAGTTTTCCCTTTGCTTTCTGTTATTTCTCTTGTTTCACAGGAAGGCTAGTCACGAGTTCACTCCAAAGATCGAGTTTGGGGGAAAAAGAAGACCTGATTTTATTGAAAAAGAAATCTCACTGCAAGAATCAAAACAAAGCCACTTTCCTGCAACTTCTTATGCATAAAATACAAATTGCATAGTAATATTTCAAGGTCCATAGTTTATTTTGCTACTCCTAAACGTTCTCTTCAGTTTCATATATATGGGAAAAGGTCACTGATGCGGATTTTTTTTTTTTCCTAATCTTCAACAGTTAGGATAAATACCACATCCAGACATGTGGGTTAGAAAAACTAATCTGTTTAGATGCTACTCTACTTGGATTTTTTTTTCCCCAACATTGAATTTCAGTCACTTTATTGCATTTTGTCCTTTTGTGTGTGTGCAAAAGTAAAGGTATTTGGGAAAATGCTGCTGCAATTTAATTTATATTACATGGAAGAGAAGATGGATTTAGTTTGAGATTTTTGTAAAATGCTTTGTGAATAAACTACATAATCTATTAAGCAGATACCATCCCGTATGTTAATGCAGTACTTGAGATTTGAAATGCACAAGTGGCAAGAGATGGCTTAAGGACAATAGCTTAGGCAAGCAAATTGCTTGTCATCGTTTGCTTTTCTGTAACCAGGTCGCCCCCCCCCCGCTCTCCCCTTTCCCTGCTAAATCCCTCAAGAAAGCTGGATTTTGTGTTAATGGGGGTGTGTCTGGGTTTCATCTTAGGAAGACCCCCCGCGCCCCCCTCCCCCGCATCGCGGAGGTGCACGGTGAGGGCTGCGGGTCGCCTCTCTCGACCTAGGGAGCGATGAATCCCCCATCTTCCTCTTCA